GCCAAATACATTGCCACTCATCCCTCTCTGTATTCCCAAGAAGGGTGGACAATCAATATTTTAATGATAAAATTTGAATCATAGAGGGTATGTCTAAGGTTAGACGTAGGATGCTCATGGATTATGGGTGGTACAATGGAAACAAGGTTGCAGCTCTCTGTTTTGAGATGGCAAGGCCTTAGAGAAGGACATTTGAACCATACATATGTTGGTATGTATCTGCCCAATATCTACGTCTAGCAACAGCTCTTCAATCTTCATTTAGGGATTGATCCCCTTTCCCACTTCCTCATTTGGATGAACAACATGATTCAAGTCTACTCCAACAGACCACTCTGTGTAGAGCACTGTGACCAGTTTTCCTGTGTCTTCATTCCTAACAGCCTTTGCATTGCTATCCCTCCACTTTTGATATGTCCCACTCCTGCTACTTCAATGTCTTCTCCTGGTTAATATCCATCCATCCCCTAGCTCAGCTTAATGTGACCTCCTCCTCCCAAAAGCCTTCTGAGTCGTGTACTGGGCTTCTATCACTTTTATATCCCCAACAAGCTTTTCCAGCCTACTTTTCCTGATAACTATTTAGGTTGAACCATAAGAAATTACCAATCCTCTATCTTTGCTGATCTACAAAAACAGCAATTTCATATGGTTCAACCTGATATTTAACAACCTCCATTCAGGTTACATGACCTGACATACATGACCCTCCCCTCCCCCCAGCCTGGTCAATCAAAAACTTTTATTGCTACAATCAAAGCTGGAGTGACCATGTGACTCTAATCAGGCAAATCAGAGCTCTTCCCTGGACTTTTGCATTTAAGACTCAAGGAGTGTAGCGCTGGAAGGATTTGATCTATGCATGTAAATAAATGACTGTTTCCCCATCGCGTACAGTTGAAGGGAGAAATGGGTGGGGAGATTGAGTCTGGTAGAGTTAAGTCAGGGGTCCACTTCCTAAGGCCCTGGTTTCTGTAGCTTTACCCTTTCTTTAATTCAGTTTCCTTTCCAGATTGTTGTTGCTGTTAGGAGTGACGAGTGGATACCAACTCATAGAGACCCTATGCACAATAAAAGGAAACACTGCCCGGTCCTAGGCCAACTTCACTATTGTTGCCACGCTTGAACCCACTTTGCCAATCCATTTCACTGGGCGTCTTCCCCTTTTTCACTGACCCTCCATCTTACCCAACATGATATCCTTTTCCAGCGACTGGTCCTTCCTGACATTATGTCCGAAGTATGAGAGATGAGGTTTGGCCATCCTGGCCTTAAAGGAGCACTCTGGCTGCACTGCTACCAACACAGATATTCTCCTCCAATATCTTTCCCAGATAAGAGCCAACAAATGCTTCCTTTTTAATGCCCAACCCAATTGAGCTAAGTTGCTGTCACTTGCTATCTTATACACTTACTTGATTCTCCTGGCTGGGTAAGGCAGCGCCTCTGGGCTCCTACTGTCTCTTGTGTCTCCCCCACCCCAGCCCCCACTCTCTGCCTGTATTGCCCCCATCCTGGCCCAACTACCCAGAACCATCTGTCTGTCTGAGCTCCAGTAGAGCAGGGACTGGGGCTGTCTTGGTCACTGTTGTCGTTCCAGTGCCCAGCACAGGGCCCAACTCATAGCAGATGTTCAAACTTTCCCCTAGGAAAATACCATGCCCTTTCGTACCTAGTGTACCCGTTCTTTAGGTTTGAAGCTCTCAGTTTTGAAAAACAAGCAAGTCATTGGCATTGACAAATGCTTTTCTATTAAACCAAGGGTTTGGGTTAACAGGGAAGGAGGATGAATGGATGTCATTCAAAAGGTTGGACCAGAAACCATGAAGGCCCTGAATATGTAGTTGGGTCAATGCCAACTTCTCAAGTGGCAGTTCCTGCTTATGAAGGTAAGTATACTCTATCCCAAAGCTGGGGTCTCCACAGAATCTACATACTCTACCTGCTGAATACCCTTTCTGGGGTTCCCATAGCTCTGTAAATAAAGCCTCCCCTCCTCACAACCACCCATAAGGTTCTGCAGAACATGTTTCCTGCTTGCCTCACCCATCTCCTCTCCCCCTCATTCCAGTCCAACCACACAAGCACACTCCTGCCTCAGGACCTTTGCACACATGATCCCTTTGCCTGGAATGCTTTCCCTGGCTTATCCCATAGTGGATTCCTTCAGTTCCAAAATCACCCCCTTTACCTCAAATTAAACTAGGCCTCCCAGCCATTCCCTACCCCTCATTCTGTTTTCATTCTTAGCATGGTAGTTACTCACCATCAAACACTGTTCACTCCCTTCTAGAATAAAAGCTCCATGGGGCAGGCATTTCTTATTTTGCCTATTTAGTTCACTGCTGTATATCCCCTGTACATGGTCAAGTGCATAGAACATACTCAGTAAATCTTTATCAAGTGAATCAGCTATCGTGTAGTCTGACTGTTAGGACGGTCTGCTTGATGTACAGGATGCGTAGAAAGCTTTCTAACCATGGTTCTGCAGTTACTGGCTGTAAGACCTCAGGTGTGCTCCTTAACCTCTCTGAGCTTCCGCTTCCTCATCTGGAAATTGGGGGTCTACACACTACGCAGATCTGTTGCAGGAGTTAAGTGTGAGTGTGTTAATCTAAGTAACTTCATCTCCTGAGCGCAGAGTTGCAGGTTCTGTATTTGTGTATCAGGAAGGGTTGGTTTGTGAGCTCAGTGCCTAGCATGTGGGAAGCCCTCAGTCCCCAGAATGCAGAATCGTGATTACTGACACACAAAAGTGTGACAGGGCCACTTGGTGAGGGAGCCTCCTGGCTTGTAATTCTTGGTGTCTGTGTCCTTGCAGCCTCCCACCTTGTCTGCCCAGATCCATTCCCCTCCCTCTTGCTCTGTTTCTATTTCTGTCTTTCTTTCCTCTTCTCCAAGCCTCAGGGGGCCCCTGGCTGACTTGGAAGCCTTCCTCCTTCTTCACCAGGATCAGGAAGGAGCTTCCATTGCAGGGTCACACGAGGCCTAAGAAGACCCCCTAACCAGCCCTCTGGAAAAATTCCCACTTACACCACCCTCTGTACCCCACAGCAGACCCCCTCTCATCTAGGATTCCTCAGATTCCAACCGGAACCTAGAGTGTGCAATGAGCTCTCCCTCATCCCTGCCCCCACTGGGCTGACTTTGGATACCAGGCTTACTTCAGATCATCAGGGCTGTTGCCAGCCTCCAGACCCTTGGGAGCAACACAGTGTAATGATGAGGAGCAGAGACTAAGGGCAAACTCCCAGCTCTGCTGTGTAATTACGAGGCAATGTATTCACTGGCATTAGACAAGTGACTTGACTTATCTGCCTGTAAAATGGGACCGTGGATCTCTCTACCTTGCAGTCGTCAGATCTCAGTGAAATGTGCTGTGCTTAGCACAATACCTGCGTGTGGGATGAACATTCAATAACCATTTAGCAGCAGTGTTGCAGCTGAGTGTCCAGACTCAAAAAATACGCTAAACCTTAACCCAAACCCACAGCCATTGAGTTGATTCCAACTCATAGTGACACTGTGTTGTTAAGTGCCGCCGAGTCAGTTCCGACTCATGGCAACCCTGTATAGGGTTTCCAAGGGGCAGCTGGTGGGTTTGAACTGCCAACCTTGTGTTTTGCAGTCCAAGAGTAAAATCGCCTCCATAGGATTTTAAGGCTATAAACCTGAATGGGAGCAGACAGACAGTGCTACAGCTTTCTCCTGAAGTGTAGATAGTGGGTTTGAACCACTAGCCTTTCCGTTAGCATATGAGCACTTAATCACCACACCATCAGAGATCCATACAGGCCAAGTTGTTGTTGTTAAAGACCGAGTCACCTGCTTTTAAATGCCAATATTGCCACTTTCAGGCTATGTGACCCTGGGCAAGCTACTTAACTTTCCTGGACCTCAAAATTTCCTCACATAATAAACAGAATAACCATACTTACCACTAGGGCTGTTGTGAGGATTCAATGATTTTTTTTTTTTTTGATGACTTTTAAGACACAAAAAGTGCTTGGGACAGTCCTTGGCATATTAGCACATGTTAACGATTGTCATTTAATTTGTGCTGTCATTCCCCATCTTGGTCTCTCAGGAGATAAGGAGTCTGTCTGCAGTCTCCCTGGCCCGTTAGCCATTCCTTCCCTCAGTCTCCCTTGCAGCCCTTAGGCTGCAATCTAGGTCACCCTCCCCCAACCCCCAAGACACACACGGACACACACAGAGGTCACGCTGAGCGGCCTCAGACACAGAAAAAAGTTTAATTCTGCTGCGGCGGAGGGTCCCTGCTCCGGTAGAGAGAGAGATTTGAGTTTGGATTTTGTTCCTGTGGGGATTTATTTGGGGAATGAGGAAGGGGTGGGAAGAGTCTGGTCCTTCCAGTGGGCCCTGCCCGGGACACTTGTGTAGTGGGGAGAAGAAATTCAGACACAGAGAAACTGGACAAAAGAAGGAGGGGTAGAGGGCAAAGAGACGACAAAGACAAGGGAGACAAACTGGGAAGAACAGAGACACAGGAGACGAGAGGGTAAGAGAGAGACAAACGAGAGAAAGGGGGGACCCCAAGCAGACCCGACAGGACCTAGGAGATGGAGAAGAGAGAGGACGGGGAGGGGGGCTTTGGAGGCCGACGCGGGACAGAATAGGATCTAGTCCAGCCAGATACAAGAAAGGGGCCCCTCACCCCTGCCCCGGGTCCCGGGCGGGGGGAGGGGGCTCGTGTCTCAGTGCTGCAGTGTTGGGGGGGGGCCCTGCCCTTCCCCGCGCTTCGCTGTGTAAGGCATCGGCTCCAGCAAGGTCCGCGAGCGCGCGCAGGGGGAGGGACAGGAGGGGCGAGTAGGGCGTGGGGGAGGGGAGCCCGGAGGCCCACCCGTCCCCCGGGGCGCGAGGACGTGGCCTGAACCGCAGCCTGAGGTCGCCCCATCCCCTCCCGGGAGAGAACACATGGCCTCTCCGGTTAGGCGTCTCAGCGTGGCCCTCTCCCCCGGTGTCTTTGCGCCGGGCTCCAGGCGACTGGGCATGTGTCCGGGCACCCAGGCCTCCCGGCGCCTGCCTGCCGCTCACACGGTACTCTCCAGCATCCACTCGGTGCTGGTAAAGGCCAAGCGCGCTCTGGCGGAGCCCAGCCCCAGGTCTCCATCCTCGCCAGCCGCGCCCGCTCCCGCCCCGTCCAGGTGCGGCGTGGACCGGTGGCGCTTTGTCCGCCGGGCGCGGCGCGGGTAACTGTGGCTCTGAAAGAGCACCCCATAGTCTCCATCGAATGAATAGCGCTGCTGCGGCCTAGGCCTGCCCAGGGCACCCCCAGGCACCAGAGCCAGAGTCGGGGGTGCAGAAGTTGGCGGCCCTAACGCCCCAGAACGGCTCCTCCGAGGGCCAGCTGCGGCCCGAGGCTCTTCCCCGGTGGTTTCCTCGGACGGCAACAGGCACAGCGAGGTGGCCGAACCGCCCAGAGAGCGTCCAAGGGCCACTTCCGATTCCATGGAGGCCGCCTCCACCGCCGAGGCCTTGGCCTCGACGGCGATGGGGGCAGCAGCTGGAGATGCCACCTCACGTAGTGCCTCATAGCGGTCTAGTGCGGGTGGTGGCAGGGCCTGCGATGCTCCTGCGCCGTTGGTCTGGGAGCACACGTGGCTGACCCGTGGGGGCGACCTGGAGGTGCCCTTAACACGGCGGCCGTCCCCGTCACCATAGACCTTGTAGCGGATCATGAGCAGGACGATGAAGACAAGGACCGAGGCGACGATGACGCCCCCGATGGCAATGATCATGGTGCCTCCAAGGAAATGGGCCCGCAGGGGACGGCAGGGTGCTGGGTCCCCAGCGGTGGTGAACTGGACGCAGCCCACCACGCGCGTGGCCGGCAGCGCTGTGGCCCCGTCGTCGTAGACAGCCAGCACGCACAGGTCATAGGCACGGCCAGCCGCCAGATCATTCACCAGGAAGGTCTGGCTGGTGGATGGGATCATCCTGCAGGAGGAGGTGAGATCAGAAAGGGGTTAGACCCGACCCCCTCGGGACCACACTCATTTGTTTGCATGCCATACCCACAGTGGCCCGTGGGAACCAAACCCCTACTGGTCTCAGATTCCTGACTGGGGCAAAAACAGCATTTAAGACTCTCATCAATCTATTTCCCACTTTCAGCGCCATTGCTACAGGACACGCCCCCATTAGACAAGGCTCAGTATCCACTGGGACAATTGCCATTCATGTTCCTTCACCTACATATTCTAGCTCCCTAATGGACAGCAAATAACCACCAACCACCACCAAAGGACAGGTGCTAAATCTACACCTTTTTTTTTTAGACCCTGCCCTCAAGAGACAATGCTCGCCCCTAGCTTCCTCACCTACATACTTCCATCCTTCCTGGGACCCTACTACAGGCCACTCCCCCTTATCTGCATGCCCCACTCCCTGGAGGGTACGGTCACTCCTACAAGGACACTGGTTATGTTCTTATTTTGTTTCTACATATTCCTGTCTTTTAGATGGAACCAGGCCCCAATTTTGAATACCCACATCCCCTAGTAACCACCCATCTACATATTCCCACCTATATAGGTGCAGTGCTACAAGCCACTTTCCTCCAACGGTTCACTCAGGATGAGTCCCCAGCTGTGCCCAATACCCTGTCCATCCTTTGCATGCCCTGCTCTTTGTTCAGCTATTGGGGGCTATCAGCCCTCATGTCCCTGTTCTGCCAGAAGTCCCCAAACCATGCTTGCAGATAAATTTCATCCATACTTAGGTCAAATGTCACCAAGCCACTCCCTTCAAATGAGGAACAGTGTAGAAAAATGGTTAAGGTACCAAATCACTTGGTTTTGAATCTTTCCTCTACCACTTAACTAGCTCTATGACCTTCAGCAAGTGTCTTAGTCTTTCTGTGCCTCAGTTCTCCTAATTTGGAATAATGAGTTTCCACATTATAGACATGGTGTGGGGACTGAATGAGTTAACAGAGCCAAAGCCGGGCAGTCAATCATGATATCATCATTAGCAGCAAGCATGCCACCACATGTTGACCAGTAACACTTCCTGCGTCTTGCACTCCACTGCCAATTGCAGCTTCCATTTATAAGACCCGCCCTCTGGTGGGCCAATACCACTAGGCTTTGCCCCTTCTGTGGCACATCCCTTGCACACTGCCTCCACAAATCCCATCCAAACCAGGACTACAAACCACATTGATGTGCATGCCCAAAACTCAACCTCTCCAGCAGTCTGTCCTCTCCTACAAAACCCCACTGTTCTTAATGGGTCACCAAAAACAAGGACCAAGGAGCTCTGATAGTGTAGTGGTTATGAATCGGGCTGCTAACCTCAAGGTCAGCAGTTGGAAACTACCAGCCATTCTGAGGGAGAAAGATGAGGCTTTCTGCTCCTGTAAAGATTTGCAGCCTCAGAAACCCTGGGCAGGACCACTATGAGTCGGAACTGAATCCACGGTACTTAAAACAACAAGGACAAGGACCACTTCTTTATCTACCAGGGACCTGCCAGAGCAAGCTCCACCTTATCCCAAGGCCACACCCCCATCTCCACCGGCCTTCTTACCTCTCAGAAGTTTCACCTTCCCTTCCAGCAGGGCATCCTTCTGATCCTGAAGCTCCACCCAAATAAATCTCCAGGAGATTTCCTCCCTCCATCCAACCGAAAGACTTGAAGTAAGAGCCCACCCACTGCTTCTACTCTGCCCCTGCCTGCCATTTCGAAGCCCCACTGCCCCACCCTAATCATCCTTGCCTCCCCAGGTTTGAGTTTTCCTCTTCCTCTCCCTCACCTGCCCTCTCAGGTTCCTTTGGATTTTTCTTGTCCCTTCCCCCAAAATAACCAGTTGCTAGGGGCTCCCCTCCTTTTCAAGGACAGAGACTGGCTCCTTAAGAAGGCTTGAGCCTTAGTGTCTCTAATTGGCCACAAGGCCCAAGCAAAGCCGCAGAGCAGGCTTCTGGTTGGATGTCACCTCCGCCCATGGCAGCAGTGAGGAAGTTAACTCTTGCAGTACCACAGTTTAGACGTCTGTAATGGAGGGGGATAAAGGACTGGAATTATGGCCCTAAGGGGAAGGGAAGAGTCCCAGGGTCTGCTTCCCAGCTGGAGATGGGGGGCCATCAACATCTGTATACATTGGCAACATCTGAAGACCTGTGAACAATCCTCCTCCTCCCTCTTATGGTGGTCATAGGTCAGAGAGAGAAGCAAAGAAAGAAACAGAGAGGTGGACAGTCAACAGAAACAGACAAATGTTTACAGAACTGTCTTATCCATCTCCTCTCCATCCCTACCAGGCAAACAGTAGGTGTTCAGTAAATGTGTGTTCAACTTAAAAAGGGGCAGAATTAGGCATTGGAAAGGAAAACTCTGGAATGCAGGCTCTGCTATTTACTATTTGACCTTGGGCAGAGGGCTTCACCCCAGATCTTCAGTTTCCCTGGTTGCAAAATGTGGGGTGGGATGTACGGATGGAGGGAATTATCTCTGCTTCAAAACAGGAAGATGAAATGAGGTAGCAATTGTTGTAAAGGTTTTCGTTTTGTTCACATGTCTCCCCTTACATTTATAAGACTGGACCAATATCCCATCTGTCTATAAGCTCAGGGCCCAACACAGAATCTGGCACACAGTAGGCGTTTACTCATGTTTGGTGACTAGAATCAAAAAAGGAGAGAATACAAGGAAAACAGAGACAAAGGAAAGAGACATTTATTCATTCCACAATGTGGAAAGCGCCTACTATGTGCCAGGCATGTAGCCAAGCGAGAACTGGGGAAGGTGGAGGCAGAAATCAGGACACCGGCTTCTTTCCAAAGGTAAGAAAATGGCTTGCCCTCCGGTGTCCCCAAGTGAACTCAGAGGCATTCAGCAGGTACTCAGAAATGTGCATGAGGGAGGAAAAGACAGGGAGGAGAGATGGCCACACAGCTAACAACCATTTAGCAAGTGCCTACCATGCACCAACTCCATGGCCAAGAGCAATATTCAAAAATCATTCCGATGGAGAGACAGAGCAAGACCAAGGTAACAATTCATTGTGTAATCCAGGGCTCCTTCCCCTGGGCTGGGAGCTCACTGAGGGCAGGGACTAACTTAATTCTTGGTTTTTCTGCGTCCTCAGCACCTCGCATGGAGCAGTGACCCAGTGACTGATGAAGGCAGGAGAGAGAGGACTGTGACAGAGACAAAGGTGACAGAAAGAGAGAAACAGAGATGGCGGAAGACTCAATGTCTGTTTACAACACAATCTCTCCATACCAAGGCAATAGCTTCTAACCTAGTGAAGGATAGAAATGACTCACTGTTTATTTCTCATACATTTTGCTTTCTGTCTCTATAATATAGCCAATGTGTTGGTATGGTGGCACTAGTATATGATTTATAAATATAAATGTAACTGTAAATACAGGAAGTCCCCAGATTATGAACAAGTCACATTACTGTCTATCTTTAAGTCGATATTGTATGTAAGCCAGAACAGTTAGGTACAATTCATTTCTACCATCAATAAGTCAAAAGTTAGTCTTAGTATACAGTGTATGGTGTATCTCTATACTATGACAGAACCATATGGTAAATGCTCTACCTATATACTATATAGAGTCCTGGTATGATGTTATAGGATAAGCTCTGGACTACTAACCACAAGGCTGGCAGTTCAAACCCACCAGCCGCTCCTTAGAAACTTTATACAAGATCGCTATGAGCCAGAACCAACTCAGAAGCACACAATAAGAACAATATATACTATACACTAAGTCAAATGTTTGTTTTATTATATATAGTTGTTGTTAAGTGCCATTGAGTCAGTTCTGACCCCATAGTGACCCTGTATAGAGTTTCTGAGGAGCAGCTGGAGAGCTTGAACTACCGATCTTGTAGTTCAAACCAACTTTGCAGTCCAGCATATTAACCCACAGCACCACACCGGTATATATAGCATACGGTGTTGAGAAACACTTCCAAATACACTCAAATATTTTTAACATAATACAATAATTTTTTGATGCACATCACAAAGTACCATCCATTTGTTATTACAAACCATTGCATGTGCTTCAAAGTTTTAGTTAAATAGTCTTTGCGACAGTTGGCTTGTCACTACGGTTAAATATGAGTTGGATGTTTGTAAACTGGGAACTTATTGTATATACTGTTTTTGTTATTACACGCCATCAAGTCAGCTCTGACTCATAGCAACTCTGTATAGGGTTTCCAAGGAGCAGCTGAAGAGTTTGAAGCACCAACCTTGTGGTTTAAACCAACCTTATGGTTGAGTGCTTATCCTATGTGCTACACCAGGATCCCCTGTATATATATATATATATATATGTATACTTCATGTTCCAAAATGTTTAAATGAGAGTGGACAAGCAAACACATTTACACATTTCGTGAGCAGACATGAAGCTCATGAGTTCACACAAAAAAGGACTCATGCCCTCCTCATTCTGTGTTCTAACTGTGCCACTGGTCTGGCTCATAATAGTACTTCATGTGTCTTTGCTGAATGAATGAGAGACAGAGACAGACAGCAACAGAGAGAAGATAGGACAAATCAGGACCCTGGACAACTCTGCATGGCCCTCTAGAACCCTGACTGAACAAGAGAAAATAGGGCAACTCAGGACCCTGGACAACTCCACATGGCCATCTAGACTCGCCTGAGCTTGAGAGGTCCTGGGACCACACACCCACCTGTAGACAAGGGAGTCATCGGCAGAACTGTTGTACTGCACCTGGTACATGCGGATGCCAGGCACAGGCCTCTGGGCTGGCCAGCGGATGAGTGCAGAGTTCGAGGTCAGCTCAGCAGCCACGAGCCGGCGCTCAGAAGCTGTGTCATTGGCACCAGGCCGGCCAGGTGTGGCGATGTCAGAGGAGCCAGGCTCTGTGAGAGGGGGCGGGGCAGCAGGTGGGGGTGCCATCAATGGCAGCGGCACCACACACACCTCCACGGGGGCTGTAGCTTCCCCGGCAGCATTGGAGGCGATGCATGTGAAGGTGCCACTGTCCCGCAAGGTGGTGATGGTGACATCCAGTGTCCCATCCCCCCGGACCCGGGTCCGGCTCGAGTTCCCCAGCAATCGTCCATCAGGTGCTACCCAGTGTACCACCGGCTCAGGGTCACCGACTGCCCGGCACCGCAGACTAACTGCCTGTCCCTCTACCACCAACGCCCGGCCTCCCGCCTGCCGAGTGATCAATGGGGGTTCACACAGGAACTCCTCCTCTGGGATAGACCAGAAGTAGCGGTCAGTCAGGTGCTCAGGGGTGGCACAGGTCTCCAAGTCGTCCTCCCGAGTCAGCCTCCGTAGCCAGAGTAATTCACAGTTGCAATGCAGAGGGTTACCACCAAAACTAACAGTCAGTGGCGTAGGTGGCTTCGGGCCTGTGCCCTGGGATCTCAGGAAGAGCCCATCAGGCGGGAGTTTGTGGAGGCGGTTGGAGGTCATGTCCAAACGGACCAGTTTGTGAAGCTGCACAAAGGTGCCTTCTGCAATGTAATCGATGAGATTGTGGTCCAGCGTGAGGGTGTTCAGGTTTACCATCTGGCCCACCGCCTCCCATGGTAGGGCCTCCAAGTTATTATAGGATAGATCCAGGTCCTCCACAGTGGCCAGGAAGGCATCAAAGGCAGCTGACTCCACCCGGCGGATCTGGTTGTTACCAAGGATCAGGTGGCGGAGATTGCCTAAGCCCCGGAGCTGGTCACCACGTACCTCTGCCAGGCGATTGCTGTCGAGGTGCAGGGCACGCAGAGCTCGGAGGTCAGAGAAGGCGCCAGCTGCCACCTGGCCAATGGTGTTCCGGGAGAGGGTGAGGTGCACCAGGCTGGTCATGTTGGCAAAATCACGTCGACGGACAGCCGCAATGAAGTTGTCAGTGAGCCGCAGCTCCACGACGCGCCGGTCAATGGCAGGTGGCACAAAAAGCAGGCCCGTCTTGGCACATAACATAGTCAGCGTGGGCGCCACGTTCTGGCAGATGCAGCGGCCGGGGCAAGGCTGCCCACGAGATGCCCCTGCCCAGAGCAGCAGCAGAAAGGGCAGGGCAGCAGGAGGTGGCAAGAGAAACGCCGAGGAGAAGGGGCCCGGAGCCATGATGCAGTAAGCAGGAGGGAGTGGGTGGAGAGACCTGTAAGGGAAGAGACTGGTCACCCAGACT